AAAAAATATGCCTATCAGTAAAGAGAAGAATTGTAAAATAGTGACAACATGACAGCAATCAGCTAATGTGCGAACGTGTTATTTATTGCAAACCGGCCGCTACATTGCGTCGGATACTAGATAGCGATACAAGTTGATGTCGATAAAATTACTGAACTCTAATTGAAGATTATATCCTTCTAGACGATTAGTTCCCTCTTCCAACTATTCAGTAGCACGACCAAGATAACGAAATTCAATTGCAAAATATCTTAATATCTCAAAAATAATTATTTAGCAATCAAACCTTCACCCTTGTTTGCTTGTTGTGCTTTTGACAACAAAGCTTGTCAGACAGCAACGTCTCATTCAGAAACAAATCAAGCAGCCAATGGCAGCATAACTCGGAGATTGATACAGAACGATAGATGTACGATGAATCAAATTATAATTACTTTAACAATTACAATTTTAAGTAAACGATTTATGAAATTTTTTCGTTACAATCTTACTACTTTTAAAATGTTTCGGCTGTGTTGATAAGCACGGCGAGTGACGGCGAAATAAATCCCACTCTTAGCCACGCGTGTATAAAGTTTGACATCGTGGCCTAGTGGTTAAAACACAGGCTTACTGATCAAGAGGTCACGGTTCGAATCCCAAATGATAACATATGTTTTTTTTTTTCTTTTTTTTTTGTTCTTTATTATTATTTTTTATTATTATTTATTATTTTTTTCCAGCAATTCTTTTAAGAATGCTTACTCCGTAACGGTGAATTAAACATCTAAAAGTTGGTTCAATTGAATCCCCGACCAACTATACGCACCGTTGCTTTTATATTGTTTGCCAGTTTCCGTAGCGGCTCAAAATAGTATTATCGATGTCTAACCACACAATGAACTATGTATCAAATATTACAATGTAATAGTACGGTAGCGAGCGAATATATTTTTTGAATTGTAGACGAACGTGGATAAATAAAACACACGTAAAATGATTTTCGAGACGAAAATTGATTTCCAATCCAGCGGGCCTGGTTCAGATCCCAGGTGACCCATTTCTTTGATTTCTTTATTTGCCAAAAAATAAATCAATTCAATCAGATATAGCACAGGGAAACCAGTAAAGAAAAATTAGATATGATAAATAATAATTAAGTAGAATACATTAATATGATTAAATGAATAACTGCTGACAAAGACATCGCAGGCTCGAGTTTACAGGAAAGTGATCGAGCGAGCGAGCGAGCGAGCGAGCGATCGAGCGAGTGACAGCTTGTGCCCTCCCAATAACTCTACGATTGCTACGCAATCTCCGAGTTAAAAACTGAGCTGTAACATCAGCTAGAATATACGTATGGAGTCAGTGATAAATTTCAATACAGCTAATAACGTAAAGATAACAGTTTCTGCCAAAAACATCATTGCAATATTTCGAAAACAACATTCGATTCACATTGGATTCACACGGTAGTTCATGTTGACAAATTCACTCGTGTTAAGCATATGATGTCAAAATTCGATACCAGCCCCTAACGGCCTTCATCTTCCAAATTGGCTGCCGGTTAATGGCGGATCGAAAATYGACGACAATAATGGCAAATTTCAACATKTTCTCTTCATCTAAAATGTAAAATACCTTATTTATGGTATTATTAATAGTATAAACTAGCAAAAACTAAAAAAATCCGCCTATCCTCGGATCTCATCGTACCCTCACTTTAAGTTTGATATGATCAGGTATTAAACCTGARACTTCTGGGTCATGGACCTTTATATCTGTGTAAGGTCACCTTTAAGGTATAGGTCCATGCATGTGACAAAATAGTCTCATTCTATTRGCCTAATACCTCATCCATTAATTATGTATGATTTTTTTAATATTTTAATTGCAATCTCTTACAAGTCGAGGAGTTAATAATGATGAAAAAAAAATGTAAAAAAAGTTTTGATAAGAATATCGAGATTTTGTTCGAAATGTTAATGAGGAACGATTTGTCACTCCCTTTCCAGTAAAGTTTATCTGCCATAGTAACATATCATTCTATTTTTTTCGACTTATATGAATTGATCAACTGGAAATCAACATTTAACTTTAATTTTAGACCATGCAATCGCGATTATACATTGTATATTATTGTAAGATTAACTATATYAGTTAGCGTGTTTGATGAGGCAGATAAGATTTTAAGCATAGGTATTAATTGTAATAATTGTGAGATTCCTTTTTGCTAACCTCCAATGTTTTTGTTTGTTTCTTWTTTATTACAGGATGGTATACGTTGCGCCATATGGTAAGTATTACACATAAGAACTAAAACCTCTGATGCAATTGCAGCATCGTAGTAGGTCGATAAAATCTACCCTTAAAAAAGTCGATGTGGCATTGTCATGAGGCTTAACCTTGCTCTTAGTGTTAATAGATTGCTGACATTCGATTACACGAGTAAGTATTTTATTGCTTCGAATGAGCGAAGCAATTGAGCAGCAACAATAATCAGGAAAATCTGCATCGTACGATAAATTACAGCCGGCCACGCAAAATCCTAATGAATGAATAAAATGAATAAAATGTGAATGCATGATGAAACACTTTCATCATGTATTCCTTTACTGAAAAGTATGGATGAGTTCACCAATAAAATGACTGCCCGCAAACATAGTTTTTTTAAATAGCTTAGTTTGTAGAGCTGCACTACACCGGCATCGCAGAGGTAATGGGTGGTTCCATGTCCGTTGAAGCCCGAAAAAATTCGACGATCATAATTTCTTATACAATTTTGCCTGAGATGTATCCTTATAGTTGCTGTGTAGTTTGTATTATCAGTACATAGAGTATAGTCAGTATGTGTTGTTTTAGCGAAAGTTGTAATATTGCATGTGTAAAAATTAAAACATAATTTTCTATTATTTTTCTAAGCAAAGATTTATAAGAAAGTATCTTTGCCTCTGGCTTAAATAAAAACAATTTTCGGTCCGAACATGGACCTTAATCAATAGTTTACAAAAATACCGGTATTGTAGACACTTGTGAAGACGGTACAAATTAAAAACAAAATGTGAGCAGTTCTAGACTTTACATGCGCGCAATAATGTTCGATAAATATAAGAGATGCCTATTCTGTAGTTTCCTGATCGAATGGCTGTCCTTTTCCGAGTGACAAACCTCAACCAAAAATCTTTTATTYATATCATTTTCTACGTTCASCTATTTTGACTTCACAGAATTATTAAGTCATCTTGGCCTTCTTAAAACAACTTGGAGTTCGCTTATCTTGTCTAGTRGATCTGAAGGAAAATTGAATGCACTACAGATTAATGTTGAGGCAACTGAACTTTTATGTCCGGCAGCGATAAAAAATGAAATCTAGATATGCGTGAATTTTAGAAAATTACCGTTCTCTCCTTCMTTTAACATACGGCATGATTGCTTATTATTTTCAGCGCCTGCATTTTACAGACAGACGGACTGGTACAGGGCCATGGGCTGGTGCGCCCACT